TTCTCTCCGCGTGGCTTTTATCTTTTCCCCGCCTTCATCCTTCTCTTTCTCTCCTTTTGATACCATCGTCCTTCCTTTTTTTCTATAGCTACTTAGTTTTTTTTCCTGCCCTGTCTCCCCCCTCCCACTTATGTGTACCTCTAAAATTCTTTGAGATATGGTGGTTTGCTGAATACGCCGCTGTTACACCTTCTGAGCAGAGAGCGAGAGGAAAAAGTGTTTACTGCTATAAAAACAATTTTACTAAAGTTGTTTGACTAGTTTTGGCTTGTCAACTTTCTATAAGCTAGTTTGCCTTTAAAAACACCAACTTGGTGTGATGTGCATCTCGCACTCGTCGCGGGGAATTGTAAATTGTATACTGTAGACATTTGCAAAGTGCTCACCTTTCCGTTGTATTCCAATTGTGTGGGTTTGATCTCACGTCGAGGCAGACCAAGGATCCAATCAACAATACTATACAACATTTTGCAGTTATACGCTCCTCCGCGGCGTCCACTTTTCCTCTTTGGGATTCAGACCTGCCAGACTGGAGGGAAATTTGCGCGGCTCTCGCCTGACTGTTCCAAGTAATTGGCACATGTTTAGTCGCGGAGCAGACACAAATCCGATGCGGCAGGCACGTGCGTCCAGTTCTACCGTTTTCCGGGAAATGTACAGCTCGCAGCCATCTCGACCATTTTCCCTCGTTCTCTCCGCTCTTATCAATGGTGACGCGAAGCACAGTGTTGGTCTCGTGAATGGTACCACACCACACGAGTGGCCCCGCAAGACGCAATGGGTTTACAACGATGTGTCTGTCCCTCTCCCTCTCTGAGCCCCTCGTAGAGCGGCTGCCGATAAGTATCGGAATGAATGACCATGCCAGGCTGTGCTTGGCGGCGGCGGTTCTGAGCTTTGGCCAGCGACTCTCGGGGTTCAGTAACGACCACGTCATTTCGTCAAAGTTGTTATATTTTTTTTTACCGTCTCTCTCTCTTCCCCCACTACTTCGCTCCGAGAAGCCCTGTCTGCGCAACATGATTTGGTGGTCGGATTACACCCCCAGCTCCCCGCCCACCGCCTCCACTCTTTCGGTTTATTACCGATCATGATGGTCGCCTCCCCTTCAAGTGCATCGGGTTGGCCTCCTTCGACTATTTCAGAAGGAAATCATTAATCCCAGACGCAGACGTAGAGAAACATGAGCGAGGAAGAGGGAGAGAGGCTGAGGTGAAGAGATAAATCCCCTTGTAGTTCGGCTTGGGTTTAATCAGCGGGAAGCCGCAAGGGGAATTACCATTCATACATCCCGGGTGGCAGAACGAGGGAGAGAGAGCGAGCGAACGAGCTTAGTGTTCGCGGCCCCAGGTAGCCCAGCCTGGCTACCGTTGCAGCGCGCTGCTCTGTCTGCAGCGGAACCAGAAAGAACTACTCAGCAAAAAAACGAAAGAAAGAAAAATGGCTATGTATCGAAAAGGGAAGGGAGAAATCTATGCTGCTTGCCTTGATTCGTCTCGCCGCAGTCAATTTTATTTCTTACTGTCCTTTTTACTCTTTACATTTTGTATTGAGTGCCCCGTGAAAAAAAAAAGGAATCGCTCTTCCGTCGGTCAGCCGGCCGTCCGTTCGTCTGTCCACATTCGACTCCCATCCTCCTTTGTCGCGGCCACTCTTTGCTATTCGCGAGCCGTTCGTCTCATTTTATGGCTTTGCCTCCATCAAGGAGGAGTGGTCTTTTTTCCCGCGTAGGCACGCTGGCGCCAGGGAGTCTGTATGCCAGTATTTGATGTGTGTGGGAGACCGAGAGAGACCCATGCATGTGTTGTGTTTGGTGGGGGTGGGGGAGGGGCGGGGAGAGAATGAGTGCCGTGAGTAACTTATGGAGAATCCCCTTCCGTCCTCTTTTTCGAACTTGCCCCCCACCTTGATGATTCACTTCCGGCAGATAAACTGCAGCTGGAGTGGTATCGATTCGTCACAGGGTGTGCTTACCTATTCTCACCTGCAGCGCACACGGGACGCCCCCACCACCAGCCGGGGCACTTGGCCTTGCTGCTCGGAGATGAGCCACTTCAACCCTTTCGTTCCTGGCTTTGCTTCTTTTCCCTGCTGCTCGCGTCGTCCTCCAGACCTCCTTCAGCTTCGCTATCTCTTCGCTCTCACTCTCCCTTTCCCCCTTTCCCAACCCCCTACAACATACCGTTTTCTGCTTTCTCTCTCCCTCTGCGTCCCCTCTCTTCTCTTCGACTTCCTTTTCTACAGCTTTCTCTGTCTCCCGCTTCACACCCTCCTTTCCGTCCCTTTCATTTTCTGCGTCTTTATGCTTCGATCATTATCAGCCACCTTTCTCCCCCCCCCCCTGCCATTAACCGTCGCGTTCCCTACATGAGATGCAGCAGTATATACCACACACACACACGTGCGCACGCTATGTAGGTGAGACTGCGTCCGAGGGTTACGGCTCCCTGGTGTATCGCTATCCGGACGCGGTCCCGCCGCCCTTGAACGTGCCGCGCCGCGTTCATTCGTTATCATACCGCATGTTTGTTGAAAGTTTTGTGGGGGAAACCAGGCCAGGAGGTCCAAGGGCACAGTCCAGTCCGACCAGGGGAACAGGAAGCGGGGCACATCGATGTTCATTCGTGTCGATGTTGGCTTTGGTGTAAAACTGGGGCGCAACACTGACCACGGGCACAGACTAAACCGAAACCCCCTCCCAGCTCTGTTTAACGTGGCTGCAGTCACCTCGGCTCCTGATTAAAATAGTTCCTTCGACAGCACGGCGGCCGCACGGCGTTCGCTTCTGTGCATCGAAACTGTTGCAGAACAGGAAATCCCACCCCCAACTAGTGTTTTGCAGACATCTGTTTGGTTGCGTTTCGCAAAATTTAGTCTGATGCGGTTGGTCGGAATCCTACATGTGAGTTAGGTAGGCTCGCACGCTGCCCCCATGATGTTCGCTGACACGGTTGGAGGGGTCCGTCGGTCCGGCGCGTCCCTAATCCTCTCAGGAGCTCAGGTGTGTGCGAGTGTGTGCGTGTGTGTGTGTGTTTATACCCCCTTCCCCCTTTGCTTTTATCTCCTTCTTTCCCCACGGCGCGCTTTAATTCCCCCCGCTGACTCCGCGCTTTTATTATGAAACTGCGGTGAAAAGTCCCGCGGGCGCAGAACTAAACCCGAGCCGCACCCGCCCGCTGGTCGGCATGCGGCCCCCGGGGCGCGCCGCACCGCGACCGCACCAGGGCGCTCCAGTCGGCCCGGAAGACTGGAGCGGCGGCGGTGGCTTCACGGCGGTTACATCGTTTGCAGATTTATTTATTTTTACTTCCCCTTT